AGTTGATCTCAGCCCATCGATCCAGCCTGTCAACCCACAAGTCCTCCTTGGCAGGGCTGCTCTCAATCCGTTCATCCTACAACCTGTACTGATACTGGGGGTCAATATGAAAATACGAAAATGAGCGTTCTGAAATACAGATAATCAAGCAAAAAAAGATGATAGTATACAGTATAGGAAGTGTTGTTATATTGAATGAAATTTCCCTAAGCTTTGAAAGAATTTTTAATCATTCTGTAACAAGGTTATTTTTATTTTAAATAAGTAAATAAATAAATTGTGCCCATTTCTGTCACTTCAGGACTCTTGTCATGTCAGTGTAAAGACGTCACTGAAACTCAGCACAGGAATGTGTGTAAAACTTTTCACTTTTATCACTGTTTCACTGTCATCACTGTATTAGGTTTTAAGTATATTGCTGTTGGAATCTGTGAACTTCAGTTTGAACTACATTGTAAGTCTGTATTAAACAATAATGCATTTGCTTTCTTTGTACTCGATAGATATATACTGAAAATATTAAAGTATTTTAGAAATGGTACTAACAGTGGTATTTCTCATTTTATCCAGGGTTACAACAAGGCAGTGGATTGGTGGGCATTAGGAGTGTTAATCTATGAAATGGCAGCTGGATATCCCCCATTCTTTGCAGATCAGCCCATTCAAATTTATGAGAAGATTGTGTCTGGCAAGGTGAGTGAAGGCTCTGTGTATTTTCACAGATGTAGCTGTTTGTCTTTGCAGAACCTGTTTTTTGTGTGGAGTAGGTGTAGAATTTACTGGCTACTAGACGGTGCGAAATGTGGAAAGAATACGGGAAAAGTTTTTTGATGAATACTTCTTAAGTACAGATATTGTTACAGTAAAATTAAAAATCAAGGTTCTAAAAATCTATTCCCTGCTTTCAAATTTAAAATGCAAGTTCTTAAATTTACAGACATTGTGTATTATATCCTTTAATGCTTGGATAAAAATGATCTAACAACCATTAACAACTATTTAGCTGTACGCTTAATTTGCCTAACTATTTTCTTTTCTAGAAACATTTTTGTAGCTTTTGAGAAGCTCTAAAGAGTTTCCGTAATTCATAGCAGGTTTCTTTACTTTTGCAGTCCTGTAGTTCAAGACATGTCTAATGCTCTGTTCAGCTTTCACTGTTGTGTAAAATTCTTAAAAAGTGTTTCCAACTTTTCCCTTTTGTTTTGTATGGATATCTCTTAGTATGGCAGATAGCACAAAAATGTGATCATTCTGTTGTTTCTCCTGCCGGCCAGTGCTGTCTCTTTATGTTTCTTTATGCTCACCTGATTTGCTATGATTCTTCTCTTCCTTGTCGCTGTGTAACACATGCTGTGCCACATCTTATGTACTTCTGTAATTCTAATCAAGGGAAGTGCCTCAGTAGGCCCTGTGGTACACTGCAATGAGAGAGATTCCTGTCTAGAACCTTATTTAAATCAAGAAGGTGGTTGCTTTTTGAACGACTGTAATACTGTGACCCTTCAGCTGTTTCCACAAATATATGGGATTCATTTACAAAGATACAATTTAAAAAAAAATATTTATCTTGCAAACTAAAAAAAACTTCAGCATTTTTTTGCAGTTTTATCTAATTTGCTTGACACTTGTACCATTGATCATCTACCTTTTTTAATGATTCCATGGATGGATGGTTGCAGAAACAGCACTGGACTTGAACTCTGGAATCTCTTAACATTCAGTCCTCAGCTAGCAGTGTGTTTCCTTTATAACCTGAAGTCTTTCATTTAATGTACCTCATGCACTTATTTCTCTACTTAAAAAATTGAGTTAATATTTCCTTACTACTCAGCTGTCTAGGTATTATATACATTAAAACCTGTGAATTTCTTATGTACTACAATAGCGTCATATTGACAGGTAAACTGAATCAATGATCAGACCTCTTGATTACACAACGTGTTTTTATGTTAAATTATTCCATGTTCTGCAATTGCATCATAACTGATCAGCTGAATATAGAGAGTGTCGAACGCTGAGAATATGGGCATGACAAATACACCTTTCTGTCTGTTCTTTTCCCCTTTTCTCTACCATCTCAAATGCTGTCAGTAGAGCGTTTGCTGGTAAAACCCTATGTAATTGCATCCCATGAATAATCTTCAAATATTTCTTAGCCAGGTTTGAATGAACTGTATTGGCCAGTCACTCATTTGTGTTCTATCTTCAAATAGTGCTGTATTATTTATGTAAGACCTTTGATGTTGGGGTATTTAGTTATCAGAAACAGATAGTACAGCTTGAATTTTCATATATGATTGCTGAATGTTCAGTTATTTCAGAGCTTATCTATATATTTATATATAGGCTATATATACACTATACTGTATCTCCTCTGTGTGTGTGTGTGTATATATCTCTCATATAATATAAAAATTTGGTCCTGGTAAAAAGTTGAGAATGCTTCGAGATGATGTGTTGGTGAGACACCAAGTTAAGTTTATCTTTTATATCATTCTTACATTAAATTAATATTTTTCCCCAACTCAATCAGATCTAAAAACTCCCAGTTCAAAAATATGGTAGATGGACAAGTTGATAAAGGCTCTGTGAAATAAATACATGTGCAACAATAATCATCTCTCTCTTCATGCATTCCGACTTGATTTGTTTGTAGATGAAGACTAGAAAATTACCCCAGTGTTTCCTTTTGTATGAATGTTGTTTTACTTCACAGGGGGAAGAATCAAATTTGTATATTGTTTTTAATGTTGCGGATGTATAATTTTAGGTAAGGTTCCCATCACACTTCAGTTCAGACCTAAAGGATCTTCTAAGAAATTTACTCCAGGTAGATTTGACCAAACGATATGGAAATCTCAAGAATGGTGTAAATGACATAAAGAATCACAAGTGGTTTGCAACTACAGATTGGATTGCCATTTATCAGAGAAAGGTAAGACCCTTCCTGATCAAAACTATTACACGTCTTTAAGGGGTTGAAGTAAAATTTCTAATTATTTTGTTTATTTTTTGCTTTCCTAAATCTGTCACTTTTCATTAAAATGAGAAAAGGTGAAAGTAGTTTAATCTTTAAGACTCTGAAGAGTATATATTGGTTGAATTATGTCTGTTTCTTGTTGGTATTTTATCCTGGACCTCTCTGTGTATGTTCATGTTCTCTTAACACGTGTTGTGCTTTAGTCTATTTCTGGAATATCTCAGAATGAGCCATCTCCTGCCTCTCTAGCTTTTTATTTAACCCCTGCTATAGTGGCATCTATAAATACTCCTCCACAGCAGAGAGAAATCTGTTTTCCTTTCCAGCTAGTTCTTAGCAATCAGACTGTGCTTTTGGAGACTGGAGACTCTGTGGAGAAGCTCTAGTCAAAGCTTTTTTCTTTTTCTGCTCCCTCCTTTTTGCTCTTGCTTTATCTGTGATTGGGACAGGATCAGCTGTAGAGAGTATTTACTCAATCCTCGGTGCCTATTGAGGAGTTTTTGTCTTCTGACACCATGCTTTAATTGACTGCAGTTCCATAAACTGCGGCAATGGGAAGAGCCCTGGTGAATGCTTTTTTTTCTGGCATTTTTAGAATGGTTTTTCATGCCTGACCAACATGACTTTTAACGCGGCTTTTAGAAAGTCCACGTCCAGTCTGCGCTATGAACTTAGGACCTGCGTGAGAATGAAAGCAACAGACACAATTGGGAATATTGTCAGAGCACGAGCAGCCATTAACCTGTCGGTTAGATGGGAGCACATTAGTGGCTGCCAGGATGAATGAAGCAGAGCTGGAGGAAGCTGAGGAAAGGGATGAGGATGATGACAATTCAGTCTAGGTCTGTTTTCTGGTAGCTCCAAGGTTCCCTCTCCCCCTGAAGGTAGAGTCAAAGTTAAATATCTGTAGACTAGTGAGTTACTAGAAACAGATTCCTAAGAAATTATTTGTTCTCTTAAATGCAGCCACTGAATTCTTGCAGTTTTTTCAATAGACAAGTAAAAGACTAAAATAACTTAATTGTTGGTATCCCAGAAGACTCAGGTGGAGAAATAATTTTGTGTCTGGATATTGGTGAAGAGGTTAGAGTTAAGCGATAACACTTGAAGGAATTGGTTTACATTGTTGAAATGCTAACAGTCTTGACTATAGAGACGAACTTGCTGATGACATGTAACAGCAGTATTTTAAAGGCCAAACCTAAATACCAACAATAGTTTGTGAAAAGAAACTGGTTGTTTGGCTACACAAACTGACAGTACAGTTGTTGTAGTATTCACTAATGTATTAATTACTGGAAGACAGGGTACAATTAACATATCATATATTCTTTGTATTAAGTGTAGATGTTTTTAAGAAAAGATTCCCCATTGCAGAATTGTAATTATCTGTTCTTTGCTTTCCTAATGCCTGTTTACAAGGCAGATTTATATGCACTGAGTTTCATTCGCCAGTATGCTGGCTGGGGACACCCAGGCCCTATAATATTAAATCAGACGTTTTAATACTGTGCTAAATATTCTTAGCATTGCTAGTGTACTGCTGTAGAGAATTACTTTCACAGAAACAAGAAATATTTTTAAATGTGAAGTAGTAGTAAAGTCAGAATAGTTATTACTAGTTTTAAAGGATTGTGAAAACTGAAGCTTCTAATTATAAGGAATAAATACTGTAATACTAAGGGTCTGAAACAACAGCATGGATTGTAATATCATTTAGGCAGTCGTAGAAATACAGCAATAAACTTGTAAACTTATGAACTGTTTATACCAGCTTTTCACAGTGGCTGTTACCACAGCATGTATTTTCCTGAAAAAACATAGTGTTCCTTAGCAGCTAATGTAATGTGAATAATTTGTTATGCTACAGTCATAAGTGAACCAGTCAACTACTTAATATTTCAGATAAGATCAAGTCTTGTTTTCTTTGTGTGTTTGCACAGCTCTTTATTAAAACACTGCCTGATAATATGGTTGTACTTAGGGCCAAACAGGTATTTCTATTATAAACCACTGTTAATCTCCTGCAATCTCTTTTTAGCGATTTCCTTAGTGAAGATAATAGGAAAAAGTCTGAGGCATCTCATTTGAACATGTTCTAAAATTCCATCAGTAAATAAGATATTTCTTGTGCTCTAAGCTTTGTTGCAAGAGAGTAATTGAAAATCAGGTTGAGAAGACACAGGGACAGAATTCAGGTAATGGTAAGTGAGTGGCTTTGTAGGCTAGGTACATACACAGACTGTGTGTTCTCTCAGGATAAATCACCTAAACACGTGTATTGTTTTAGGAACAAAAGGATACACACATGACAACTGTAGCACAGTCTATAAATGCAGAAAGTTAGTGTTATTTCTGGCGGGTGTATAGAGTTATCACCCAGAGTCAACACAGTTCAATTTGCATTGGTTTGTGCTATACCTCTTTAATTTACTGATTTCCTCACACACATACCCGCGCCTTCGGTAATCTACCTGGGGCAGGGAGCAGTTCTGTGGTTGCACAGTGTGATCTGATCCCCTGCCTCAGCTGGAGCCATGCCTGCCCTGCTTATCTGGCTCCCCACCGTGCTGCCTCTGGCACACATGCTCCTTGCGAAGTCCCAGGGAGAGATACTTGTCTGATTACTTTGCATTTCCAGGTTAAATTTGCATCACCTCAATAATCTTGCTTACCATAAAAGTGGGTAACTCAGGCACCTGTCAAATGAAAAAGAGGAATGCGGTACTGATAATCACGCCTCCAACTCTGTTTTGTCCAAGACCTGTTGCAGTAGGCTTCTCTCCTTCTCCCTGGTCTTCCATTCTCTCTGGTTCCTTCTGTACCGTCCATTCTTCATCGTTGCCTCCCATCAACCCCAAACCCTGCTTATTCCTTCTTTCAGCATGCAGCTGATTCTAAAATTTAGGTTATTTTTAAAAGTAATTAAGCTTAATTTTGAACTTTGAGGTGTGATAGACTAGAAGGATTAAAATTTGAATTAATACTAGCTGACTGAAGGTGGAATTTAGTAGTCTGTTCCCTAAAATAGCATTTCACTATCTGCAAGTTGGGAACAGCACCTTTATTTTCTTTTTTTCTTTATGTTTTTCCCCCTGACTCTAGGGACAGCATAAGCTGTTAGCCAGTATGTCCCTGTGCAGACCCGTATCCTCATTTAATGGCATCTTTAGTTTAACTTCCGAGATGAGTAGAGGCTGAAGTGCACTGAATTGGGACAGAAAGATTGAGACTGTTAAGTTGTAGACCCAAGGATTTTATTGTAAGGTCAACCTCAAGAAGCTGCAAGTTCCCTCAACTTTTAAAAAGCAGCAGTTAAGAGTGTCCTGGAAAACAACTGGCTCCAGTACCTGAGTGTGAATGGCCTACTACCATACAGTTGACATGAGATGCACTGAACCTCAAAGCTAATCGAGTATATATGTGCATCTGAGAGGATGTGCAGGTGGCCTTTACCAGAAGGAGTTCTCCATCGTTAAAGCATTAGAGCTGCACTGGCTTTCTGTAAAATCTTTTAGTGACCCCTTGAAGTCATTCCTGGTCTTTCAGCTGTGGCCTAGTTTTGAGAAGGATTTCACTTCTCACTCAAGGTCCTGGGAGGAACCTTGTAGGAGATGCAGAACAAATTGTTTCCAACTTGTATTAGGTTAGTTTCTATTTGGAAATAGACGGCTGTTGGTAAGTAGGAGAGGAGAAGAAAGTAAGGAGGAGAGGGATTCCAGACTGCCCTGAGATTTTTGTGTAGTGTTGATGGCAATCGCTCTACTCCTACCATGACCAGGCAACTGTTACATGGAGCCCTTGCCGCACTGGGAGCTGCACCGTGCAGCTGATGAGCTGAGGGAGCAGGGTCTCATCTGCAGGAAGCGAATCATAGAATAGTTTGGGTTGGAAGGAGCCTTTAAATGTCATCTAGTCTGAACAGGGCCATCTTCAACTCAATTAGGTTGCTCAGAGCCCCGTCAACCTGATCTTGAATGTTTCCAGGGATGGGGCATCTACCACCTCTCTGGGCAACCTGTGCCAGTGTTTCACCACCCTCATTGTGAAAAATTTCTTGCTTATATCTAGTCAAAATCTACCACCTTTTAGTTTAAAACCATTACCCCTTGTCCTGTCGCTACAGGCCCTGTTAAAAAGTTTGTCCCCATCTTTCTAATATTAAGCCCCCTTTAAGTACTGAAAAGCTGCAATAAGGTGTCCCCAGAGCCTTCTCGTCTCCAGACCTAAACTTTGTTTTGAAGTAGAAGTAATTTTTTTTTTATTGATCTTTGTCAGTAAGAGATTAGTATTTTTCAACTTACATTCATACATCTAGGCCTACACCTTCTTAGGCTGCTTTTATTTGTGCCACGACTTTTCAACTGGTTCACTGTACTACTTGGTTTCTTGGCAGGATTTGAAGAGTAATGGGAATATTGTTGTGCTCATTATCACAGTGTTAAATCTAAAGGTATTAGGCTGATAACATTTCATGTGTTTCCCCCCTCCCTACCCTCGCCAAATACAGGTAGAAGCTCCGTTCATACCAAAGTGCAGAGGCCCTGGAGATACCAGCAACTTTGATGACTATGAAGAAGAAGATATTCGTGCGTCTCTAACAGAAAAATGTGCAAAAGAATTTGCTGATTTTTAGTAGGAGTAAGAGGACAAGATGACATCAGGGCTCACATTGGGATCTTTGCACTCTGTTAACAGATGAGGTGGAGCTGAGACCATCATATGTCAAAACAGTTACCTAGTTACTTCATTCCACAAAGCTGACTGAGGTCTTTATTGCCATCTTCCATGTGTGCAGTTTGCACCAACCCTTCTAACTAGGCACAATTAAGCAAGCACTGTTTGTGCAGTAACACAGAATAATAGACCACTTTCCTACTTAACTTTGGTTTCTGTCGTTCTTTGTTTCTGTGTATTGTTCATTTTCCCCCTTTAAAATGAAGTAGTTTTTTACCCAAGAATGCTCCATTTTATTTTGAATAATGTATTATTTGTGTGAGTGAAATGGAAGGTGTTGCGGCTAGTGTGATTTAGACTGAAGTGAAAGATAAATGTTGCTTCTAGTCTGTGCCAGCCAATAATTCTTGTCTGTCTTGTGTCTGATGCTACAATTTATAATAATTTTTTAGTAGCTCAGACTAAACCTAGCCAACATTTTTAGCATTTTTGAAGGTAGTATTTATCGCCATATAAATGTCTGCTAAATTAACTTAAAAACATTTCTTCCTGGAGACTGACCAAAATTCAGTAGAATCAATCGGATGGCTTAAGTAGGGGACAGTAGCTAGACCCCGTGCCTTGGTTTTCTACATCCCTGCAGTTTTCGTCACTGCCTTCTTCCTTTGTATTTCCCACCTAGGCAGTAGGTAAATTGCCATAACCAGACTGTACCATGGAAAGCTTACAGTCTCGTGAGAGGGAGTAATTCCACCTGGTCTGGATTTTGGACCATATTTAACCAAGTCAACTTACCAGCATTTCAGTTAGCAGGTATGAAATGGCTTTTTTAAGAACATAAACGCTAAACTCTTAAAGGAAGTTTTGGTCAGTATTGTAGTGAATATGATTCATTTTGATTCACTTTTTTTTTTTTTTAATTAAAAAAGCGCCACTGTTTGGGCTCCCAAAAGTATTCCTTGTTTTGAGCCTTTTTTGATTAAAAAAGGCATCCATTAAAATAAAAACCACCACACCACAAAAAGCAAAGTGCGCTCTGCCATTAGCTATGAAAAACAAATGGTTTAGCAAATGCAAAATAATGTTCTAAATGCATCGCTGGATGAACACGGTTATTTTTTGTTAGCTGTTAAAAATAAGAGGTTATTGCCAAGTTTTTATTCTGGTATACTATATTAGTAAACTGAGGATGGAGTACTGCTACAATCATTTTCTTTTTAATTACAGCACTTCATTCATGAAGAAAAGAGACAAAGTTTAAAAACTGCAGTTTATTTTAGTTTTGTTGTGTCTTCATTTCTAACCTACTTTCTTTCAATCAAACAGAATGTATGGTCACACAGATATAAGTATTTGGGCTTAATTATGTTTTGTATACTCTCACCAACTGACTTAAAAGATACTGCTACCATGTGCTAGCTTTGGGCACTTTTACACACTTATTTCAATGTTAATAATCAGTGGCTCAGCACTTTTTTGGGGGTTGCTTTTAAACTTACTCATAGTAGTTCTATTTGTACACTTGATTCTGGCTGTCTCAGTGACCTGTCTTAAAACAGCACATCAAAACAGTTTAAACTAGATTCATATTTTATGATAAATTTACATGCATACAAGGATGAATTGTTTTTAAAAACAGAAGAGCTATATTGATACATAGCCATTGTATTTGTTTGAATGTCAGTGCAAATAAACCACTGGCATTCCTTCCTTTTAATCTGTATGACACTCCTTTAAGAAAAGCCTTTGTAGACATTTTACAAAAGAGTATGAAACGTACCATCCAACATTCTCTATGTTTAGGTTGTTGAGCATTTTTGCACAACGTCATTAGGAGGCTGACACTGAATGCAGTCTTTGTCCACCCATATTTACATATGTGCAAGAAAAGTATAAGATACTTTGCTGTAGCAAATTTTATGTAACAAAGATATAGCGTCACATTAATAAATTTAAAGAAATCCTTTGTATGAAAATGTTAAAATCTTTTGTATTTCATTTAGACCAAGGACATGCTGCTGTATGCTAGCTGTATGCGATAAATTCTACAGTAACTTTGTTGTCGTTTATGAACTTTAAAAGATTTTAATAAATGTTGGAGATCACAATTTGATTCTGTTATGATTTTAATTTTTAATCATTGCATTTATAATTCTAGTAAGGTTGGAGATTTTTCTGTTTTGTAAAATACTGTAATCATTCATCTTGCGTGTACAATAAGACAAAAGTCTAGGAAATTGGTTCTGCCATGTCTGTCTGATGATCCAGATTAAATTCTATGTGGGCATAAGTAGAAAAGTCATCTTAATGCCATGATATTACGCTGTTTTTTAATTTTATGAAAATCCTGTTAGAAAGTAAAATACTTTTCCAATATGGCATAATAGACTTCAGTATGGAAATGAGATTCTATTTTGGAAAAAGAGGGGAAGTGTGCAATTTCCAAGGCATTAGTGAGTACATTTGACAATGTGAGTATTATACAACCCTCTCATTTAAACACAGTCATAAAATATAACTACAGAATATTATGTTACCTGTATTTAATTTGAAAAATCCTTTTCACAATATGGAAAAATTGTATATCTATGACAGTAGAAGCTTGTTAATTTTACACATTTGAGGAATTAAGTGTTGAACTATATGGTATATTTTAATTGTACTCTAGTTGTATGTAACTTTCATTTCCAACATAAAGGATTGTATCTCATTAAGTAAATTGCTTTTTTATTATCTTGTCAGTTGCATTAAAACCCTTATTTTTAAATCCTTTAAAGTATTTTACTAATTTTTGCAAATACTTAGATGTTTTTAAGTGCTGCAATAGTGTGCAATATAGTAAACATTTATATACAGAAGTGAAAATTAAATTATGTACAACACTTGTGCTGCTTCTTTGTGAATCAGAACGTTGTATGATGAGAGTCGTTGCATCTCCCAACACGCTGCAAACAGGGTTTGAAAGCAAGAGGAAAAGGTTATGAAACATACTGCACATATTAGGTGGGACCCATTAAGCTTTACACTAACTAGGGTGTTTGGAGAAGATGGTGTGGAGTTGGACTTCTTAGACAATCAAAGGCAAGGTGATCATCATCTGCAATATTGTTTGTCTTCATATTTTCACATTCGGACTCAATGCTTTTTATTAAAGATGATTGCCTGTTTTTAAATTGTCTGCAGATCCCGCTGTACAAACTTTGTGCTGTGTCTCATTGTGCTGTGAAACAACTGATAGAAGTAAAGACTGTTCATGGTCTTGGCATTGTTTGTCTTGAGGCTTTTTCTGCAAGTGGTGTTTGGAGAGGCTCTGGTACCTGCTCTCTGTAACGCAGCTCCTTCTCTTCCTGTGCTCTGAGCAGAGCTTCGGCCTCTTTGCTTCTGCTGCTGTACGCCTACTGACTGTGGTTTTGTGTTCTTCTTGGTTTCATAGTACAAACGCTACATTACATTTCAAAGATCTTTGTACTTTTTCTAAAGCTGAGCTAAGAAACTGCAAAAATACTGTCTTCTGCTTTTACTACAGTTCCCATGCAAACACAGCATGTTGAGCAGCAGATTTGAAGGTGTCATTCAAATCTGTTCTTCTAATGTGTCGTGCATAAGGAGGACTTATCCCAGATAAGAATTTGAGAACCATTCCACAAGAAACTGGTAAAAGGATCATTCCATTCTGAAGCTGGGGTGTGTGTAGCTGATCTTGGATGTGTTTGCCTAAAAACAAACGAACGAAAACAAATTCATAGAACCACCATAGCTTTACAAGTGTGGGTCTTGCACGCATTTTTAAAATGTTTTTAATTGACAGCTTGAGGAATCAACTGATTTGAGGTCTCTGACAGAAGGGGTAAAATATGAGTGTCTTAACGTCAGGCTGGGCAGTGATCACTTCCAGTAAAAGGGTTAGAGCTCCACAAGGATGTTTGAATGTCTGTAGATTGTATATATTTTTCATCTTGTGTAGGAATTATGTAAAGTGTTGGGGTTTTTTAGAAGGATAAGACAGGTATCTCAGGGCAAGATAGGATCTCAAGATAGCTTCCATTCCTAACTTTTGGGTTTGATGAATAAAAGTTTGAATTAAATCTGAGGTCTACTCACATTTTGACCTTCTGTTGTTGCCTTTTTTTTAATACTACAAAAAGGGATGCCTGCCTGAAGGAAACTTGCATGTATTGAAAATGTAGTTTATTTTTACAATTCACTACTACAAAAAGTTTCTACCTCAACCTCTAGCAGCTTGAGGTTTCCATGAAATCATTTGGATGAGTTCCCAGTACTCTGTTTCAAAGCCAGTAAAATTTCTTTTAGATTCCTGACAGTCTGGTTGTCCTGTTCCCTCCCTCAGAGGGTCGAATACAAATGTCTTTGCAAAAATGTATTTCTAAAAGTTGTGTTTACGTTGCTCTTTGCTTTAAATTTTAAAAGCAACATATTTGTGATGCTTATTTGCATTAGCTCATGGTGAGCAAAGCATGTAAGAAAGACCCAGTGACAAACTTGCACATTCCTTATTAGTGCTCAGTTTACAAGGTTTAGATTTTGATAGATTACACAGAAACAATCTAGTATCTAATTGCAAAGTCTGCTCCTTGTGCTGAGAAGCAGCCTGTCTGAGCATGAGGCATCTCTGCAATGGACACGGTTGCAGTACAAAGCTCTTTAGGATGACAAGGTTGTTCTCATTGGAAGGAGTGGGAGGATGGAGGTCAGCATCTGTTCCTGTACGTACCCAGCCGCAGTAACAGATGTTTTCCTTTGCTGGGAGGTAGAGGTCAGAGAGGCTTCTTCCTTTGCCTTTGGTTCCAAGATGCTATGCAAGATTGGAAAGGACTCAGCTATAGGTATATTGACTCAAACGGAGCAAGGTCTCGGCAGCCTGGCATGTAGTGCGGTACATTCCGAGTGTGTCCACTCAGTTACAGGAAAAAATATGGGTGATTAGGGCAATAAAGAGAAAAATGGAGTGCTGGAAAGGCTTAATTAACTTTCTGAAATCCTTCCTCCATCAAGATAATTTGATTAAATAAATTAAAAAAAAATCCAATGCCTCATTTACATTTAGTGGCGTTATCAATGCTTTGGTCTACACAAAGAACTGTGTTCTACTGGAAGTATTGTTCTTTACTGTGTATCTATATTGCTGCTTTGAATGTATAGATACTTATCTAAGTAATAGTTCAACAAAAAAAAAAGCTTGATTGGGATGTCCTTTCAACTTCTTTCATCTTTACCATCATCTTTCTACTTGATGTTTGCATAAAGTGGGAATCTAGGTGTCAAGACTCCATTAAGTAAGTAACACCTTGGATGAGTAAAACAAGGCAATGCACCTATCTCACAGGTGTGTTAATTGAAATTAAGCAATCAATATTTTGCTATTTCATAAATGCCCACAGTTTATAAAATAATCTCATTTTCAACTGCCACCCTAAAAAAAAAAAAAAAAATCATGTGTGTCCCCAGTGAAGACATCTTTATTTCTGCTTGTTCTCTTACCATATATACCAGGAAGTAGGCATCTGGCCGGCTTGCTTACCCGTGGGGAAAAAACTGAGAGAGGATCTGAGCAGGTAGCCTTCGTAAAAGCATTATGTAGTACCAGAAAGAGGATTGTGGTGGCAGAATCAGTCTAAGGGCCACATGATACAACGTGTATAATGTAGTGATGCAGTTCGTTAATGTTAGCATGCTGGTTCATGTCAGGAGTGTGGTTCTACTTCTGTAGAAGTATCTGCTCTGTGGTTTAGGACATAACCCAGGGACTTGATTCCAGCAAGACATCCCCATCAGAGAGCCACCCTCCATGGCCAAAGCACCCACAGCTCGCTCGCTCGCGCCGGAGGGGGAGTCGGAAGGGGACCGGGTCGGCTGCCAGGTACGTTTCCTGCCAAGAGAAGTGTTGCAGTGAGTGCTGGAGGGAAAATAACTCCCTGAAGTCTCCTAAATTAATTGGTCTAGAAACGGCAGCTGCAGAATATAGTGAGAACACAAGACTTGGAAAAGATGTAAGAGCAGTAGGGAATGAGAAATTTGGACTGTACCAGTCATATAATATGTCAGATAATATATACAATACCAACCATGAGTATTTGTTGTTTATGTATTAGTACTTTTTGTCTTTAAATTGTTTTAATTATTAATACTTGCAATATTATTTTTGCTGGTTTTCATATAGGTATCAGCAAAAAAGGAGTTTTTGCCACTAATTTGAACAAAAGCATTTTTTTCATAATACATATTATCATACATCTGTATGAAAATTCCACTGAAAATCCCTGACTGATAAATCCTATTTTTGTTAGAGGCTAGAGTCAGACGGTCTGTTTTAATAGCACACAATCACATTTCTGTATTATGTGCACTTGAAAGTTCAGAAATATGCTGCTTTTAGACAAAGATTGTCACAAAAAAATTGAAAAGTGCATCTAAGCTGGTTTATTAAATACATAGTATTTATAGTAGAGAGGATCTACATTTTTTAGAGTTGGATGCTGATCAAGTTTAGATATATCTCTACTAATTATAGTTATAATGTTTACAGGCAAAAACCATTGTTCGATATTTTTCTAAACAACGTGACCACCAGAGCAGTTGGAGAGAAAGTAAAGTTACAGCAAACGTGTTCTTGAGAGCGTCTCTGATCAGAGCCTCATCAACCGACTTAGAGCTGAGCAAATTTTGAAAAGGTCAGTTTAACTGTTACAACCTTAACGTGTAACTTTCGAATGTCATGTCTGCTCATGTTCACGTGTGAATATCCGTTTGGTTTACATCCAAGGAAAGAGCAGAGAGGGGGAAACAGGGTCACCTTCTAATGTGTGACTGCAACACCCACCCTGCTGTAACAGTGGTTCCCTTCTTGCCGTCAGTGCTACTGTTCGTAGCCAGTCTGCCAAACAACACATGCATCCTTTGATCTTTCAAATTTAGACACAGACTGTAGGGTTGTCATGATTTCTTTTGGTTTCCTCATAGTTCAGTGCCTATGAGCAGGTAGAGAATCCATAAGCCCCGCTTCACCAGCAACTGAGAACTGCAGAAAAGACCCTTTTCCGGGTCCATGGTGCTTTCAGTGGGATGAGGAGCAGCATCCTCCATGGCTGATCAGAGGAAGACATGCCATATTCTGGTCTTCCACACTTGGTATCAGTTCTGGCAGTTGTCAGAACTGTAACCTGTAAGGAAGAAGCCAGTGTTTACCAGGACACAGATGCTTTACAAATCCTGGAAATCTGGATTATTCTGAAGCAGACTAAAACTGTCTGCGGCTGCCTCTGTCTGCCTGCTGACTGGGTATCTGGTGGAAAAACTTCACCACCCTAGAAACTCACTACGTGATCCACCTGCACACCTCTGAAATGTGATCATTCCCCCAAATGGCTATGGTTAGCAAAGGTGAACACCCTTTAAGAGCCTGCCACTATCCAAACGTTGCACAGATCTCTGTACATGCTCAGAGTATTTTTTTATGCTCAGAAAACCATGAAGGAACAGACTGGTTCAGCTGGGCTCCTGGTACCAAAGTGGGTTTGTGACTAAGCCTCTGCTCCTCTTTTCTGAGAGTATATGTGGACCTGAATCTTACTGACCTTACTGACAGTGCTTTTAAGGGGAAATCCATGACACCCCAGGAAGTCCGTGTAGGATTGAGCAGAAAGGTCCACGGGCAGGTGTGGAGAAGGCTCTTAATGTCCCCACACTGAAATGTCTCACACAGGGGAGAGCTCAGCACAACTATTGGAACACTTAGATTGCTGCTGTCAGGTG